TACAATCAGAATTCTCAGTAAATTAAAGAGCCCATATAGAGTCAGCACATGTCACTGAGATACGTGCTCCTAATTAAGACTGAATAATGTTTTGTTGTGCTGGGACTAATGACCCTTGCAGTGCAAAGCACAGAACTGCATCTCTGAGAAGCTAAACACCTCTTACCACTTCATTCAAAGGCACTTGCAAGCCTTCTGCATCTCCCAGGCTTGGAACTGTAACATATGTTAGGGTTGTTTATATTGCTAACATTATGAGTGGGTTACAGACACATCAATCACTTTATTCATTCATGTTCTTCTGGTCAAGGAATTTTTACTTATGGCCATTCTTCTTCTCAGTGTATCAAAATAATTTGAAGATTTTACAAGTTTATGCTTAGCAATTCATTTTGAAATATGGTGAAATAAACATAGGGAAGAAACTCTATCATTTCAACTCTTAAACTGCAGTTTCAAGAAGCAAAATGATCACTGAGGTTTAAGTGAAGTTTCCTAAGAGGTGAAGCACTGAGAGATTAAATAGCTGTATCTATGAGGTATTTCAATTTTCTGTTTGAAGCAATCAGGTTTAAGTAAAATGGCATGATAATGAGATGAAAAATCTGGTACTGTATCTGTAAGGTAACACTCTCAGTTTCTAAACATTACCTGTACATTGTAACCCAAGCAGAACCGTGGCCTTTACTGGGAGAAAGAAAGCATTTTTATGCAAAACCATACCCCATATAAGTATTTTTCAAAATAATTTTACAGGCTTTAAAACCAAACTGCAATTATCTTTTTAGGGAAAAATATGACATACTTTTCCTCTTTCAATATTTAACAATGCACCAAAGTAGTTCCTGTAAGAAGGGCTTATGGTACATTAAAGCCACAGAGTCTATTAATCTAATACGGTCTATTACAAACCTTCACCAATAAACAAGCAATGATTCAAATTAGAGCATATTTGAAAACATTTTCTACTCTAAAAACAATTGCATCACAATGAGATGGCCATCACAATTTCAAATTACACTTCACTCTGTTTTCTAGAGACAGATAAGTCCATACAGTATGACTGAAATTTCTGATAATTATGACAAGCTGATAAATTGCAGACTAGTATATATGAAGCCCCTTATAACTAGACTAAAGAACTGTCACTTGAAAAAATCATTTGCTTCAGCTCATTAATATGTTTAATTTTGCTGCTTTTACATTTTTTTTAAAGACATCCCACATGCATTTCATTCTACAATCATCTAACTTAACTCTGGCAATAAACTAGGAATTCAAACTTATCAGACATATGGTTCTGCAGATTGAAAGCTTTCAGAAACTGACAAGCTAGTAACAACCCAGATTGCAATTAAGAAGTTCAGAAGCCTTAAATCAAGAGACTTGGATATTTGTGCTGCCATTTAAATTAGCAGATCCATTAAAAATAATTAAAAAATATAAAATATCACACCATAAAACACTGGTACGGCATCTTCATACCTCAGAAATAAAACAAACTATATTAAATCTGATGTGCCTAAAAAAGAAACCAATGACAATTTACATTTTTTCTCTTATTAACTTCTACCTTGTAAAGCTTTCATTTAAAATGTTGCCATCCAAGTTCCATTTCTAAAAAGTACAGGGAACACAAACACAGAAATCTCCAACATTCATTGTTCACCAAATTTTTATGACATCTACCTTCCTCTTTTCTTCCACAAATCTCATATTTTGCTATATGGCAAATGTATTTTCTAGGATTTTTCAAATGTTATCTGGTTTTCCTTCACTGCTTTTCTTATCTTCATTTCCTCACTTTCTCCCCTCTTCTATGATCCCATTTGCTCTTCCTTGCTTAGATTTTGCATTACAAATTATTAATTTTTTATTTGACACTTGAGGCTAAATATCCCAGTAAATACCAGGGATATTATACCTCTGCTCGTGGAAAGGTATAGTTATAGTTATAGTTATAGTTATAGTATATAGTTATTTATAGTTAACAAATTTTATTTGTATAGATGGGACATAACTGCAAGTCCTATGCAAATAAAATTTGTATTCTTTGTTTTCACAGATTTCGTGGTTAGGGAAATAAAAGTTATTCAATGTGACAAAAAACGTGTCTGAAATTATATACCTCCAGTCAACAGGATTCTTAAATTAATTGGTCCGGTCTTCAGGAGCTTTTTCTTCTTAAGTACAAAGAAGTTTATGAGCTCAAATATCTTGTCCTCATAACATGTTATGTGAAAGCACAAAGTAACTTATATAACAACAGTGTAATTTAGAACTTATATCAAGTCTGAGACTAGGCAAGTAGATTTCTTTGAAAAATGAGGACTAAAATATTTATGGAGACTCAATGAAGCAAAATATTTCTTGAAAATATATTGATTTTCATTAGAATGCTCTTGTGAAGACAATTGTGACTTTCTACTTAAAAGTAATTGGTGGAGAAAAGTTTTATAACATTTGTCAGATATAATGCAGGCGGGGAGCTATTGTTTTATTACTTTTTTTTTTCAAATGAATAAATGAATATTTAATTTCAACTATGTAATTAGCTAAGAAGCAAAATTATTCAAAGATTAGATTTAACTTGAGTAATATCTCACAATTATTACACAATAATAAAAAACATGCCTATAAAACTATTTTTGCAAGATTATTTGGAAAACTTTGTCTTGTTCCCCATTCCTACACCAGTATAGAGCTATTGTTTCTTTGAGGTTTTTGTCTCAAGCAAACAACTGCACGAGATTCCAGAGTTAAGGCAGTTCCTTCCCATTCATGACAAGCTTTTGCAATAACACTATGGAAGAAGATTCACAGAGCAAGAATTTGAGATACACCACTTTGAACTCCTTTTAAGAGCACCCCAAAAAGCTTTAAAGAAAGGACCTTGACATTCTCTGGAATGCGAGAGAACTATTTTCCATCCTTTTTTTAGCAAGCACTTCCCCTCAAGTCCTCTGCATAAGATTGGAGGAGTTTGTTAACAAACTCCCTCTTGTCCTCCTTTCTGTTTGCCCTCATCACAGTCTCTACTACTGTCCTGAAGTCTGAAGGAAAAAATAATTCTTTCTGCCACCTCAGAGACTATGCATCTGCTCTTTGCCTGTGCTCCTCACTTTCCTCCCCTTTCTTCATATTCCCAGTCTCTGGTTTTCCTCTATCACACCCCTCAGAGTATCTTCCTTGAACGTGTGAGTTTTCCCTGGTTATGTATCCATGCAGAAGAACTAATCACTTTTCTCTTGTGTAGATTCTCTTTGATTGAAAGTGCTGTACTGAAAATAGGCAATAAGGCACTTCCTCCCCACTCAGAACTGGTCTTCCACACACGTTAACACAAAACAGTAAGTCAATTAGATGGGAGCTGACTCACACTCAAATGAAGTAACACAAAGCCTGTGAAAATATCACACACTATGAAGCTTATCTTTTAGGGTTATGTTTACACTGGGTCAGAAAAAAATATTGTCATTTCATGGTGATTATCTGTTTTCCTTACAAAGAGAAAGCATGACTTGAGCATGCTTGCAAATGCCCTTGAAGATAAATCAGAGCATGCTTATTAATTACAACTGACTTCCTTTATGATCTGCCATTTTTTTGTGATTTCCCCATTACACATAATTGAGATTTTAGACCTCAGCATAAACTATTAATAAACCATATACCCAATATCTGAGACATGGCACCGATCTTTGTGAACTTTGTGATACATTAGATATGTATTAGTCACAAGTCTTCAAATGAACTATAATGAGTAATTTAATTCACACAAAAAAATTTCAATAAGTCATTTTAAAGAATCATAAATAGTTAAAAAATTTTAAAATCAATTTTTTCTCTATTTTTCTTATGTTCATATAACAAAACAAACTGAAAATATAAAAGTAATACATAAATCTAAGAAATATATTGATAAAAAGGCTGGATTTTTTCAAAAACACATCTGTTCACTCCTAATAAAATTTCATTCAAAAGCAGATAATATGAATTCTTCTCTAACAGCTTACTTCTGACATACCAAGGTTTACCTGACTAGCTTGGACCTGTAATACAGAGAAATCACCAAACTTGCTCCAGAAGTGTAACATGGATATAACTACCTGAACTGTAGTGGTAAAAAAACACAGTTAAACCTGTGAATTGTAATGTGTTATTAGTTATATAAAAGAGTATATAAAATAAGGATATAAATGCTAAACAAGAGAAAGAGATTCATTGAAATGTGCTCTATTACATCAATAATAATTTCAGTAGAGACCTAAAGGGACCATTATTTCTCCTAAATTACATATAATCTACTCTTTATGTAAGCTTAATTTAATTTAAAAAAAAATGAGCCAGATGTTTTTAATCTTGTCAAACTATGAAAAATCAAATGGCTACCAATATAATTTATTTTCTGAATAAGTAGTATATTTCTGCTTCATTATTTCTGATTAAATTTTGACATTATTTCCATACCTGTCCTGTCAGAAGAAACTAGAAAAATATTAGATATTAGCAGATAAAATTTCTTATTTATAGAAGTTTGTTTCTTAATCTTCTTCAGAAATGACTAAAAGGATGACTAAAATTCTTGACAAAAAACTCCAAGCCAACTACCCAACAAAACTTTCCTTGATAGTGTTCCCATGCAGAACAATGACAATTACAAAGCTTCCCTAAAGCTAAACTAAAGTGAATAAAAAGCATTATAATGATTTACATACACTTTACTATTATCAGCTCTATGAGAGCATGCATCTAAATAAGTTATATACCATTCTGACCCAGCAAACAGTGCACCCATCATAGAAGGCCAAATGTCATAACTTCACTGAAGTTCTTAGGAATCACCACTATAATGGTTTTCACTTATGAAATGAAGTTCCATAGAAATACCAAATATAATGCAGAATAATTTCAATCCAATACCTAACACTGTATCTTTACTTGTAGAGGATATATAGGACTCACAAGATTCGAATTTAGATATTCCAAAAGTGCCTTACCATGGTGTAGTTGTGAGCCACCTTCATAAGCTCTGTGCACCCTTGTGCATCAGCAAACGCTCGTATTCCCAAGCAGTTGGATGGGTGCAAAAGCTTCATTAGAAAATGGCAGCAAACCTCCACTACTTGGGGGAGCTGGAGAAGGCAGGCAGCTGCCAGAAGGTTTTCAATGGTGTCTTCTTTTAATTCCAGGCAGCCTAAAAAAGAAATATTGATAACAAATTCAAACTTATTTACTTAGTATTTACAAAACATACAGTATTGAAATGCATTTTTATAAATAATTGTAGCTCTATATAAATAACTCTAGAGAAAAAGTGAAAAAAAGAAGGATTAATCTCTCTGACTGAACACCCCAGAGACCTGGAAACTACAGTATTTGAAATATTGCTTTTTAAACTACTATTAATTCAACTATATAACAGGCATAAAAAGAGAGACTGTACTGTATCAAATGGAATAGAAGACTTGGAATATCTCGATATCAGCCAGGCTGTGAATGCTTTTTTATTGGGTTTCTTTTCTTATTTTTATTGAAATTCATATTAAAACTTGTGTTATCTTCAGTGGCACAGAGCAAACCTCACAGCCATTTACTTCCCTGGAAAGAATGAAATAACTGCCTAGTATAGTATGAATGAACCCATAAATACATCTTCAAAACAAGGCTTAACAATCTTAAAACATTGTGTTGCTTATTCATAATGTGACTTCAGGATTAATGCTATCTGAGCAACATATGGCAGGCTTCTCGTAATGCATAGTTCCTCTAAAATAATTTATACTGGGGAAAAGAACCATTAATTAATACTTATATTACACTTAATTCTGTAATTTCACAAGTCATTATCTTTACCTTGCAGTCTGACACACTTTTTAATAAATAAATGTGAAATAGAATAAAATAAACTGTAAAAAGAATTTATTTTAGGCTGGAATAAGTAATTCATGTTATAATGCTCCCCCAAACATAATAGTAAATTTTATTTTTACATTAGAATCTTATAAATCTCTTACATTAATAACTTAAAAATCTTCAAACTAACAATTACAAGGATATTTTGGAGAACTGAAAAAAAAAAGAATAGGAAAATAAAATATGCAAATTTAATACAAATTGTCAAAAAATACTTCTGATTGTATTGTACTGCGCTCAGAGAATATAATTTCTGACTATTAGAGGATTAAGTGCATATTGATCTTTCTCTTAAAAGTATTATATTTAACACCTAGATAAACTCTTTTTCCCATAAAAGCTCTGTATTTGCAGTCACATAAAAAAAAATCTAAAAATCTTAATAATTCCATTGCATGGTGCTAAGGAGTTCTAAAATCCTCAATTTCACAACAGCATGCCATTGGAAAGAGAAGATGCTTTATATTGCAATACCAAACCCAAAATAAAGTAACATTAGCACTGCACATCTGATGTTTTCTCCTTTCACTATATCTGGAGCTTTTAATACAAGAGGGAAACTGTGAAGTTATACTTTACTAGACTTAGTTATAATACATCCTTTTGCAAAGGTCAGAGCATCAGATCAAGCACACAGCCAAATTTCAGTGGGTTTCCTCTCCTTATTTTTATTCTTTTATTAATGTCACATGGGGGGTTTTTTGTGTTATCTAACCTTTTCTCACAATTTCTGTACACCCCATATTTATGCAGTGTGGTCAGAAGGCACACTCAGCAGCAGATCCTTGGCTGACCCACATATTCATCAATGGCACTCCCACATTTGCTGCATGCTGCAGGTAATGGCTGGCTCAACACAAAATCCTGGAAGACACTTCCACTGTGTAAAGTGGAGGCATTCAAAAGATAGTTGTTTTCAGGTTAAAACTGACCATCCTGGTAACAGAAGTAAAAAAAGTAAAAATGTGTAAAGCACCTTTGAAAATTGGATGAACTGAGAAATGAACCAAAAACAAAAAAAAAAAAAAATTATTTCTAAATCTCCTTTTCTTACATGCTATTTCTTTTTCAACAATGAGCTCAAAAAAATCTCTGGCCCTAAAAAACTGATCCAGGTAGCATTTGCAAAATTATAGAAAGAATCACTTTCAATATCCTAACATTAGGAGGAAAGGTAACACCCTCATGGTTTGGCCTTTTTATCACTAAAGGCAGCTACCCTTAGGAGAAGAACCCAAAGGAATCAGTTGAAACACATCAATCTATTTGTCTTCAAACTGAGATATTTTCTGTTCCCTTTAAGGTACACTAGTCCTGGTACAGCATTAGTTGGGAAACAGTAGGATTAAACTACTTATAAATCAATAAAACATATTATCTGGTTTATGAATAACTTATTTATGTATTTCTTTATGTAACTAACACGGAAATTTTGAAGAAGATTATTCACATTTGTATAGAAGAGTGTGAACACATTTCTGCTTTACACTTTAATAGAGGAAGTAAACATGCAAGCACTTCTGGGATATCTAGAGATAAGAATATATTATAGCTTTACTTATTTTCAACTAAATTCAGAAATACTAATTTACTACTTAATATATCTATGATAAAAGCTAGAAAAATACACTCATTATGAGTTAAAAAGATTTTTTTCTTCTTTCTTTTAGCTTCAATGATAGATAGGTTTTTAATCCGTCTAAATGTCTTCTAAATCTTGATTATCTTCTTTTTTAAACATCAAGACACCTTCATAAATTTGTTCACAGGGTCTGTATTCCTTTTTCAGAAGAGTGCTGTGACATTTTATGCAAATTCCTCGGGGATATCAAGTGTTTAGCATGGTCAGAGTTTGAAAAAAGAAAGCTGTTAAGGGGCTTTGTATATAAAATATGAAATCTTCACACAGTTTCATATTGGCAATTAGAAGATCCAAGCTTCTATTTAAAAATGTTTAATGGGATATTCAAGGGGCATTAATATTACTGCTTCTTCAATTCACCTCCCCCTCATATTTTTATGCACTAAAAGCTTGCACAAGTGCCTTAGTCTGAGAAAAGCAAATTAACTAGAGCTTAAAATCTCCTTTTGTATTACATTAATTAAGATGAAAAAATATGAGGAAAAAACAATCAAAAGAGCTGTAATGAATTCTAATTGTTATTCAAAACTATAGCTGTATTTGTGAAAAATTTTACGTGCATTGCTTATGCAGAAATTAAAATGCCTGTCTTTATCATGCATTCTTATAACGACTACATAAATTTTATTACCCCATTACCAAATGTGAAGCAGAGATAAAATAAGAATTCTCTGATATTCTTCTTCTGTTACTAGACCTTTTCCCAAGTTCAGGAACAGTTATGTCTTGGAGTTGGTTTGTGAGGTTTTGTTTGTTGCTGGTTTTTGTTTTGTTATTGTTGTTTTGGGGGTTCTGTTTGGTTTTTTTGTTTGTTTGTTTTGGGTTGGTTTCTTTTTCTCTTTTATTCTCTCTCCTACACTATTGACTATACTCTACAATTATTTTGGTTTATAGGGAATCACTGCACCTTTGCCCACCTTTGTCTGATGTTAAATAAGGTCAGTTTATATTATAGGAACAGCCTCCCACAAGTATTGACCAACAGATTGGACCTGTGGTAGGACAACTCAGTAGGTACAGGTCATTTGCTCTGTGTATAAGCAATGAATTTTAACCTAAATTTGTAACACATCATAATATCATTTTACATCATGTTTACAGAAGTTTTTTTTCTCCTTTGTAATTACACACTTACCCACAAGACTCCTCAACATTCTTAAGAGTGTTGTGTGTACAAGGGAAATCATGGGAAGTGTCAAGGAATAAGAAACAAAGGCTAAAACCAATTCCTTGAAATAAGGTATTTATCTTAACCTTTCTATTTCATGTGTCTTGATCAGTTGTGTGGAACTTTTGAAATGTTGTTGAGTGAAATTATTTCTGGAGGGTAATCTGTTTTAGGAGGCTGATCCATTTTTAAAATTTAAAAAAAATATATATATCTTTTAAAAGGCAGTAAATGGTATCAAGATAATATTCATTCATCTTATGCATAGTAGATTAACTGACTACAATAAGAAATTGGTTTCTTGAAAAATCATCTAATTCAATTGAAGACTTGAAAAACCTTATTTAAAAGGTGCTATGCCTCACACACTGCTATAATAAACCTTTCTGCCATTGCTTACCTTAATCATTCCAATTCTTTGGTACTCTGAGGTAACCACCTGACCTAATCACCCAAGATCTCCTTTTACAGTTCACAGAGAAAAATAGGAAGCCTTAGAGCAGTTTTCACCTGCTCTGTTTCAGTCACGTACTGCAGAATGAGATGAATCACTCCCTGAATGGCTATTTCTTGATTTCAGATACAAAATGAGCACCTTCATTTGAGTTACTGAGACACTTCTGATATTCATATTTGTTGACATGAATTCAGTTCCTCTACTCCCAAACACAGCACTGGAATCATTAGAGCCATCAGGTTTCAGATGATGAAATAGTCTTTGGGTTCAATTCTTATGATCACTTCCCTCTGTTATGGTCAATTTCTGGTAGTGACATAGTGTGTAAAATCACCTCTTATGTCTATCCACGAGCACCACTCAATGAAGAATGATATAAAAAGTATCGTCTGTGTAGAAGAACATCTTTCAGTCTCCAGTTTGACCTATGCCTCAAAAGACAAATTCTACATTGTATTGTCTTCCATACTTATTATAAAGGTGAAGATGTTTTCAGAAAAGAGAACAGAACACAATATATTCACTTAGCAAAAGTTTCTTCTGATCAAATTGTGTTTCATTTTTTATTAATTATTTGCTGCAGACCACATTCATCATGTACTTGAGGAAGAAGCCACTTTATGGCTAATTGTGCTTATTTAGAATCACAGAATAGTTTGGGTTGGAAGGGACCATAAAGATCATCTATGGGACAACAAATGGGGGACAGAACAGAGAGCACAGAGGAGCTTATGGAATGGGTTGTTCTGGCTTTGGTGGGATACAAGCCCTGGGAAATGAGATCACAGATATGAAAAAGAACTGGGAAAAGGACTGTATATGTAACTATCAAGGTATTTGAAATTATGTTGTTTTGTAAGGCTGCCAAATAATGTGAACAATTGGCTATATGCAGCTAGTGGGAAATTTTTGCTCAAAGCTGTGGCTGCCTGGAGCTGTAACAGTATAAAACTGCCCTGTGAGAACAATACTGCGACTTCAGTAAACAACTTCAGCGACTTCAACTCCAACTTC